TCAAGACATACAAAAGAAAGCACATAGTAATCTATGGAACTCAATATGACAGGATGTAGTGATGGCCGCAAACTTGGATGGCCTTAAAATGAATACACTCATGGGGGATACAGCTATCAACAGCTACTTCTTTCAGGTTCAAAGACAGCATTCCTCTGAAAACATGTTGCTGGGAGAGGGAGAGTACCATCGTATCCATGTCTTTCTTACGGGTTCCTGGGACATAGACTAGACGGGCCTTTGTTCAGATCCAGCAGTGCTCTTAATGCATTTTTATGACACTGCGGATTCACTTTGGGTTGTATTTTAGGAAGACATTGGGCCATACCGAGCCCCCAAGGCCTCAAAACATCTTCACTAGCTAGAGGAGGGACACCAAATCCCCTTGGAATTTCAATGCCTATTTAGAACCCCTGCATTAGACTGGTCAAATTTCACAACAAGGATGTTAACACCTTGATCTTGTATAGCTTCCACACGCACATTTCCATGGCAAAAGAGAATGTTTCATGAATGATATCTTCCTTAGATCCAGGTATAAGTATTACAATTGTACCTTGCAGTACCTCCTGGCCTCTCCTTCTTTCAGACAGACTCTTGCTAAATATCTCATAAATGTTTAATTTCCAACAATAGAGTACTGGAATAATGTTAATGGTCTGGAAATGTTACAATGACCGGAGTGCAAATGCTAATGCGACCCCAATGTCAGTCCTTGAAAGTAAATTTAATACACCAATTCTCTTGGAGGTGGAAATTGGCCTGATTATCAGCTGCGGAGTGCATCGCAATTTCTGTCTTTGCTCATGAAGCTATATTGCACACTGGAGGCCCATGAACTCAAGGCAGGGCTGTACCACTATGGGCTGTACCACTATGTGTTGCATACAGAAAGTTTCAGGTTCGGTCCTTGCCATCTCTACTCAGAGCAGAATGTGAGGTCCCAAGACAATGGAAAGGTGGCCTGATTCATCCAAGCAACCCCTCATGTGTCATACGCAGCGACGCTGCACATGTGACCTATGTAGTGACGCCCCGCCCTGGGTGTCATGATGCTTCGTTCGCCCCTGCTTCCAGCAAGTGATATTCAGACACATTACTGCCTGCAACCTTAGAGGCAGACAGTACTAGTGTCAGGGACTGGACCGAGAAGGAGTGGCAGAGACCGCCTCCCAAGCCTGAACCTTCCAGGGAAGAGGAAGACACTATAGATTTACAACAGTGGTTTGCAGGAGGTCACAACTCAGAGGCAGATGAGGGGGAAAGTTGGGAAATAATGGGAAAGCTGCAGGAGGAGTCATCACTAGAAAGCATTCCAGACCCACTATCTCCCAGAACCAGCAAGCATTGAAAGTAGGCAAGCAAAGGACTCAGAGATAGATGGCCCTAAGTGGCCACTATAAGTTGGGTGGTGCTGTTGATGAATGAGGAAGTGGGAGAAAAGGGGGTGGGGGTGGAGATTTACTCGCAGCAACACCATTACTCCAAGAGACTGCATTTCTAAGCCTCTCTCTGTGAATATAGAATAAAAGACATTGGTAAGAACTTTCCTTGTCTCATCTATTCCTGGCAGCCTACCGCTGGGGGGTGGGGTGGGGTGGGGTGGGTGGGATCGGATTCCCTGACGCCTTGACAGCTGGTAGCCTTCTCCTCCAGGGGTTTGCCCAGTCCTCTTTTGAAACCACCCAAGCCACCTTGCGTTTCTGCCTAACGGAAATCCCATGCACAGGATGCAATCCGTGCAATTTGGAATCAAATGAAACATCACATTTTTCATAAGTTGAATCGACGCCTTGGAAAGCTGCCAAAAGACAGGGGGAAATTTTCCACTTGTGCTACTGCGACAGCCTCTTTCAAACCTACTGTTAAGCAGCAGGAGCACATACGCACTTCATCCCCTTTCCTATTACGAGGAGCTGACACATTAAGCTCTTTGGAATAGTATTCATATTTTATCAGCTGTCCCAACACTGGTTCTTTATTTATAACCTGCTCTGACATTTTATTTTTTATTTTTTTACCCATCTGCATTTGCTGGATTTAGGAAAGAGACAATGCAAAAACCCTTTTAAAAGAGAGAGAGAGAAAAAAAGTCAGCCCATAAATTTAACTATTCTTTTTAGCCTCTTCAAGCAGCTTTATAGATCTTGGCAGATCACCAATTATTATTTTTTTGAACGTTGCATCAGGTCTGTATGACATGAGAGCCACCAAGCTGGATGCAGACTACTTGCCATGTTATTTTATTAGGATTATTAAATCTTTTATCTGTACTGCCTTTTTGTCTTCAGAACCCCATGAGCGGTAAACAATGTATTAGAATAGCAATAGGATTTTTTTTAAAAAAAAGCCACACACACACAAAACAGCAATAAAGCAGTCATTCCAAATAATCAAATAATAAAACCACTATTTAAATATGCAAAATGGAAGAATCAGGGGGTGCAAATAGCCTCTGTTGTCACCCCCCCAAAAAAAGGAATCTGGAAAAAGTTTAAGTCTTTACTGATCAGGAAAGGGGCCAGTCATTTACAGTGGAAAAGGCACTGTTTGTTAGAGGGTGACCCACAAGAGGATCAGTCAGCATCCTGTTTCCTCCCCCTGTCTTCCACGAAATGGGGGGAGAAAAATCAGGTAGGAGTGTCAGGTTTGCTTTTAGATCAAACAAGGATCTTGATTAATATGTTAAAATCACAACAATATGAGATTTTAGCTGCTGTTTTCACATGGTGTGCATTTAGCCTGCAGGTGACTTCACTTCTTCCTGCAGATATTTCACAGCTAAAATTCTTGAAGGTGTTGCCACAGCATCAGCAGCACATCTGTCTGAAGTCAGGAAAGATGGAGATGAGAAAAAATATGAGCTACAAAATTTGAATGATTGAAACTTGATTTTCTTCTCCCCTCACCAGGTTTCAGGGAAGCCCTGTAGCTAGATGGTAGAGCATCTGCTTTATGTACAGAAGACCCCAGCTTTGATCACCAGCAACTCCAAGGAGAACTGGAGACGTCCTCTGCCTGAAACCATGGAGAGACATTCAATGCAGATCAGGGTGAGGGATCTTTTTGGCCCAGCAGGCCAGGTCTTTAACTCCCACCCCCCAAGCCAACTTTGACAAGTGGAGGGGATTATCCACCAGTCAACCATCCATTGGTTGATAGAGGGGTAATGCCATTAACCAACCCCATTAATGGGCCCTGCTTGCAACACCTGGCCATTTCAAATAACTATATTATCCCACAAAACTAGATTATTATAATAGATGGGGAAAATATTCTGCAGTGCTTCCCTGCTAGGAATGCAAGCTGTCTTGAAGCCATTTGAACATCCATGGACAAAAGGAAGCAGGAAGAAGCTGCTAATTGGCTCCTCAGCCAATTCAGATGCCTAATAGCATAACTGTTAGCAGTGTAGTATGGTGTTGGACAAGGCCTGGGACTGGGAGACAGGGGTTCTAATTCCCTAATCCAGGAAACTCATTGGATGACCTTGGCCTAGTCACAGTCTCTTAGCCCAACCTACCTCATCGGGTTGCTGTGAAAATAAAAGAGGGAGGGGCTCCTTCAGCCATCTTGAGCTCCTTAGGGGAAAGTTGTGCTAGAAATGGAACAATGTATTAAATTAATTTATTAAATCAAGCAAAGATTGCAGATTCATGGAGGATAAGGCTAACAAACAGCGGCGTAGCGTGGGTTGTCAGCACCCGGGGCAAGGCAAGTAATTTGCGCCCCCTAACCCCTAACCTGCCGCCGCTGCCAGCTTCTTCTTGCTGCTGCCTGGGCTGGGGTATTTACGGTAAGGTAGCCACGGCGGCGGCGGCGGGTCTGTGTCAGGTGATCTGAGGCAAGTTGCCGCTGGCGCTGCCGCCCAAACGACGCCGCTTGCCCGGAGGAGGAGGAGGGCAGAGAGGCGAGGAAAATGCAACATGGCCCAGCAGCTGCAGCAGCAGCGGCGGCAGCGGGGCTGTGAGGAGGGGCTGCCTGGCGTGCCCTCCGCGGCCCTGACGCGCGGGGACTGCGGCGAGCGCTGAGAGCCGCTGCCAGCTCGTCGGTTCTGCGAGACATGGGGCTCTGCTATAGCCTGTGCCCGAGGCTCTTTGGCGACTCCTGAGGCGGCGAGCGCCCCCCCCAGATGTTGCGCCCGGTGCGGCCGGCCCCCCCTGCACCCCCACGCTATGCCACTGCTAACAAACGCTACAAGCCACAATGTTCTCCCACCAAACCTGGAGGGAGCAGGCCTCTGAATCCCAGTTGCTCGGAATCACAAGTTCTGTTGTGCTCAGGTCCTCCTCTCAGGCATTCGGTGGGCATCTGTTTGGCCACTGTGAGAACAAGATGCTGGAATAGATGGGCCATTAGTGTGGTCTTTCAGGGCTTTAGTGTGGTGTAGTGGTTAAGAGCGGTAGTCTCATAATCCGGTGAACCGGGTTCGCGTCTCCACTCCTCCACATGCAGCTGCAGGGTGACCTTGGGCCAGTCACACTTCTTTGAAGTCTCTCAGCCCCACTCACCTCATAGAGTGTTTGTTGTGGGGGAGGAAGGGAACGGAGATTGTGAGCCGCTTTGAGACTCCTTAAAGGGAGTGAAAGGAGGGATATCAAATCCAAACTCTTCTTCTTCTATTACTGTCTTTCTTATGTCAAGATACCTTCCTGGGGACAATTACAGGTAGGTAGCCGTGTTGGTCTGCCATAGTCGAAATACAATAAAAAAATTCCTTCCAGTAGCACCTTAGAGACCAATTAATAATAATAATATTTTATTTATATCCCGCACTGGGCTCAGAGCAGCTAACAACAATAAAAATAACACAGTTTACATAAAATCACAATCAGCTAATTGAAATACATTCTAAAATCAATTCATTCTAAAATCAATTCGGAGTCAAATTAATGGCAACCATTGGGCTAGAATGCTATGAGGATTACAGAAGGAGGGGTTCAGACTACGCCTTGGCCAAAGGCCTGGTGGAACAGCTCTGTCTTGCAGGCCCTGCGGAAAGATGTCAAGTTTGTTATTGGTATGAGCTTTCGTGTGCATGCACACTTCTTCAGATACCTAGAAGTGTGCATGCAAATGAAAGCTCTTCAGATATCTGGAAGTGTGCATGCACACGAAAGCTCACGCCAATAACAAACTTAGTTGGTCTCTAAGGTGCTACTGGAAGCAATTTTTGTTTGTTTGTTTGTTTGTTTGTTTGTTTTTCCTGGGGACAGTTGAGGTTGATGTCAACCACTCTGAGAGAGGCATACATCATTGAGTTTGAGAATAGTTTTAAGGGACTGAGGCCCATTTTCATATCTAAGTATTGCACTGAGATGTTTTGAAATTAATAAAAAAAACGGAATGGATCCTCCAAGCCCAGCAAATGCACATGGCAATTTTTTGTTGGCTCTAGATAATTGTCCGGAAGCCTGTCCACCCTTGTGAGGAAAAAGAAGGAGAAAGGAAGTGGCTGATGATTGAGTATTATGTTATCACTCAACTTGCTTTGCATTTCCCAAATTAATCCATTAATCTGATTCTCCCCCGCCCTCCCAACTTGACAGCTTTTCTGTATCAAGGGACTAGGGAGAGACAAGAACACTGGAAGGAGGGAGGCTTCAAATTAATTAAAAATCATAGGTGTGCCTTAGCTAATGTTAAATGTTGTGTATCTCCTGGAAAGGTCAAATTGAATTACACCAGATTTTTTGCTGGTGCAACACAGATTTCTCCCTGGAATATATGAAATGTCAAAGAACAGTTTGAAAAATGATCAATGCTCGGAGATCCTAGGTTCTGTAGGGTAAGCTATTTTACTTGGAGATAAAACTTTTAAAAAGAGGTTTATTCTAGACTCTAGAGAGTTGAAGGAGAAGGCAAAAGAGTGAAAATATCTCTGCAGGAAAAGTAAACATTTGGAAAGTGTTCATTTAAGGATTCTACCCCCCCATGCTCTTATCCAAAATTTCCCCAGATTTTGGACAGTGGAAGCTGGTAAAACTTTGACTTGGTAGGGATGCAGTTTTTAACCTTGCTGTTTTCCTTACAATACAACTTGTATAGCACTTATTTATGAAATTGTGTCATGATCAGCAGAATGTCACTGTCGCCTCAAGAATAATAATAATCATTTATTATCTGCACATTTACAGACAGGGGAAGAGCTTCTATGTAAGAAGGCCCAATTATGATTTTCAGACAATATTGACTCCATATGTCTTATTTAAAAATTAAGCCATAACACAAGACATATATTTTTCAATTCATGTATTGTTTACAGCTAAACCTCCACTGCCAAAAAAGTAATCAAACACAGAAAAAACTTTTAAAATGTGAGGAACATTTGTTTCTAGTTGAATGCTATTTTCCTCCCTAAAAAATCAGTTAAACTTTTCCATCCAAAACACTAATTTCTCTATATGGAAAGCATGAACTATTGGAAGCAGATCTCTATGTATGCATACACCAACACCCAACCCTCCTTTTCTGGGAATGTTCTGGAAAATGCTCTGGTACTGCATGGGGCTCAAATAAATCTGTCCTGCCCTATCCAGTCGATGATGTAGCTTTTAATAGGTAAATGGTTAATGCATAGCTTGTCTCAACGCATCACAAGCAATCCACCATTTCTCCTCCCTATCCAATTCACAAAAATAGTTCTAAACTTATTAAGCAAAGAAAAAAAAGTTAAGCATTATTATAGAAAGACACACTCTGAGTCAACCATTGCTTGTTTGCTTGCTTGCTTGCATGCTCTCTCTAGGTCACAAAACAAATACTAAACAAAACAAAAAAGTGCCTCAAGGTAGGAAACACAGCATTCGGATTCTCCTGGTGAGGTGGTGTGGCCTTCAAGGAAACAACTCTGGGCATGCTCAAAGCACATAACTATGATACAGATAGGAGTGTAAGCTAATTCTTGTGTCCTAACTGACTGGATTTCGCAAATGGCAACAGGAGGGAATGGGAACCTATGAAATTGTTAGAGCTAACAGTGGTGAAATCCTTATTTTTAAATTTTGGATCTTATGCCTAGAGACAAGAGCATCCCTGTAATATGAGATTCGGACAAGTGCTATCTCTGCTCATAGTAGATTCATTTAGCTGCTATGACTATATCCTACTACCATATGAATTTGTCCAGTACAGTTGTACCTCGACTCCCAAATGCCTTGGGAGCCGAACGTTCTAGCTCCTGAACGATTGAAAACCGGAAGTGGTTGTTTCGGTTTTCGGACATTCTTTTGGAAGCTGAACATCTGACGGGGCTTCCAATTGGCTGCAGGAGCTTCCTGCAGCCAATCAGAAGCCACGCTTTGGAAGTTGAACGTTTCGGAAGTCGGACGGACTTCCGGAATGGATTCTGTTCGACTTCTGAGGTACAACTAAATAAATTGGAGTCCATCACCACATATTACAGTGGTGAACCTCATTACTTAATTACACATTAATAAGTACTACTTTTTATCTGCATTGAACTTACTGCCGAATAACTCCATTGGTTGATCCCCAATGATGTTCTCAAACCAATGTTTGGATCAGACCAAAGGCCCATCTATTCTGGTATTCTGTTCTTACAGTGACCAGCCAAATGTCACCAGGATGCCTGCAAGCAGAACTTGAGAGCAATGCGACTCTTTGCTCATATTCCCCAATGTCTGGTGCTCAGAGACATACTGCCTCTGAAGCTGGGCATAATATATAGCAATCATGGCTACTAGCCATTGATATCCTGACCTTCCAGGAATTTATTTAACTCCCCTGTAAAGCTGTCCAAGTTGTTAGCCATCAGTGCATGTTGCAGAAGGGCATTAATTGTTGCAGATATTAATATTGTGCAGTTTGAAGCGACTGGAAGCATAGGAACAGACTCCTTTTGGAGTCAGACCAGGCCCATAAAAATATTATTCAAACTTTGACTGGCATAACTCTTCAAAGCAAAGCATAAGCATCAAAGATACAACCAAAATATCCATACGATGTCTTGTGCTGTCCAGCACAGCCTTAGCATCTTAGAAAATCCATATGGACCTAAAAAGGTGTCTTGTTTCTCTCTCTCTCCACAGCCTGCATTTCAGCTTCCATTGGGCTTAAGCTGTTTACTCTCCCTTCAGGAGAACTTCATGTACATCCTTACTCCATGGAATATGGGAGACAAAAGATTAAAGGATACTTTGGAGATTTGCAACTCAATACCTTCATCACATGATCAAAGATTCAACCCTCAGCACAGAGTAGAAAATAATCAGCATTTATTCATTAACCCATTAAGGAGCTCAGAGTCTGTTAGAAAAGCTACTGTGGAAAAGCCCCAATGTTAGCAACAGACATTTAGCCATTTCCCATTTTAAACCTTCATTAATACACACACATTTTCATTTCCTTGTCAAATAAACCAATTATACTTAACATTAATTACATCAAAAAATGAAGCACTATTGGATGGATATTTCCTGACTCTCCCACTCTTCAGTCTCATTGAATGACCCTGGCTTCTAGGGAGAGAAAGGAAGAAGACCACCTCTCTCTCTCTCTTTCTCAATTCTACGAGTTTCTCTCATCTCCTTGTATTAATCATCCGTATAAATGGGTGTGTCTGGGATCAGCCACTTCCCTTTCCCTTCATCCTGCTATTTCAGCTGGTGTGAGTAAAGAAGACCCCCTCAATGGCAAAGGATCCAGGTTCAAACCCTTGCATATCCAAGTAGGACTTGGAGGGTCTGAAACCATGGAGAACCGCTACCTAACACTGAGCTAGGTAGACTAATGCCATGAGTCAATCTATGGTAGCTTCCTGTTTTCCTAAGCAAAACACCTATGCTAGAGCAGTAATTGCATGGCTCTTTTAAGGAACTGATTATGAACCAAGCTCAACTTTGGAAGGGAGTTTGGCTCAACTTATAATTGCTTCAGCATTTCTGAGCAGGAGAGAGAGAAAAAAAAATCCAAAACATGCACACACATTTCTGAAACTCACGGGCCTCCCTGTTTCTCTAGTTCTCCCCTTCCTTTAATTCAAAAAACCAGAAAATGCCAAGATCTACTCTCAGCATTTCCCAAGGGAAAATAATGCCACCAGAAATTTTGACCTGCTGTAACAAGCCCTTCCATTGCAGGGCTAATTGGAATGTTTCAACATCAGCTCAGAAGAGAGTTTTTAAACATGGCGATCCATATCATTAAGCACAGTTAAGGAAAAGGAAGCGGATAACAGGGATTCGGGTGTTATAAGCTGGAGAACTGGGTGGAAAACTGGCCATTTCGAATAAAATGAATAATGTATCACATCTTATCCTTACCATCCTAGAATAAGATAAAACATTGAACAGTGTCTGTGCAGATAAGACAAACATTTTGTGTGGGGGGGGGGGAATGGGTGGTTGACTAATGGTTCAGATGGGATTTCCTTTTATTTTTACAATGATGGACATAAAACATCCTGAAATGGTTGTACAGTATTCCTAATTACACATACTCCTAAGGGCAGACAAGCTTATTTCCCTGCACACTTTTGTCAAGGATGGTGATGATAATAATTCATATCCCAGGGCAGCAAATAACAAAATAATGTAATTAAAAAATAAAGACATAAAGCATTAAACACATTTAAAAACAGTCACATCACCCACACAGCTAATAATTTCAAGGTTAACATGAGCCACAGATTTCAGCCATCAAATCCCTGGGTAAAGAGGTATTTTTAGAATGCCTCCTGAATGCTAATATTGAGGGAGGAAGATGCCCCTCACCAAAGAGGGCATTCCATAAATCAGGAATGGTCACCCCAAGGGTCCTATGGGATGGCCACCCATCCATCTGGGGGTCTGGTACTACCTGGGGAAGGGAAATCAAGCCACAACAGAGTGACTTCAAACCCCCCCCCTTTCCCACTTAAAGATCTTGCTGCCACCAGATAAAGGATGGGGGATATTTTTACTTGCCTGCCTTTATTAATCAGCCTAAATGCTTCCCTATGGTCTCCCTGACGCCTCTCAAGGTAGGGTAGTACAGGTTATGGCTTCCAGGTTTGAGGGTGTTTACAATACGCTGAGAACTCACAGGTGTATGAAAAATGTGGGGGGAAATACTAAGATGGAAAAAATATGGCATTTTAAGCAAAAGTATATTACATGGAAAAGTTACAGAAAACCCATATATTCC